GATCCCTCTGATGACTACTTTAAAGCACCCCCTTTGATCCGCAACATGATCCTACTACTTCCTCACATGATATCTTATCCTATGCCTCTGAATATTATAAATGGATGTTCTTTGAATAAGCCAATTTCACTGCAGATCAGATGGAAACGCTTCCACAAGATGATATCTGGCAGCACGTGAGAAGTTTTTTAACCCCACAGCATGCTGATATGTTGGATGTTCCCTTCTCGAAGGAAGAGGTAAGGGCAACCATCTTTGAACTTCCCTCTGGTAAGTCTCCAGGTTATAATGGTCTACCCATCAAGATTTATAAACATCTGGTGGGATTCCTAGCCCCCTTCCTTACCGTTGCTTTTAATTAGGTGGCTGAATTGTAGGTCCTACCAAAAGGTTTTACCACAACCATTGTTATCCTCTTGTATAAGAAAGGGGACCCTGCGAAAATCTAGAACTGGCGACCCATTTCTAAACTTACTAATTTATATAAGATATGTGCCAAGGATCTTGCTTCTTGCCAAGGAAAAGTTTTGAGGTTGCTTGTTTATTCAACTCAGACTGGTTTTCAAGTTGCCCCTAGTCGACAGGTCAATAATAATATTATGATTGCTTAGCAGAGTCTGGAACAGGCTACTTTGGTCCAAGACGGTTTTGTTATGAACCTGCAAGATTTCGAAAAAACTTATGATCGGGTTCGTTGGGTGTTCCTTATTGAGGGCATACGTCAAAGAGGTTTTGAAATAGGGTTCAGATTGTGGACCTCCCTTTTTCTCACATCAGGAAAAGGTGTTGAACAGATGAATGGGCTTCAATCTGACAGTTTGTCTAATTCCCGTTCGGTCCGACAATGTTTTTTCTCTTTCTCCAACCCTCTGTGTCATCTATGCTGAGCATTTGTATGATATGATCAGGGTTTCTCCCGTTTTACAAGGTTTCCCAGTTGGAAATGGGGAGCTTAGATCATCAGCTTTTGTTGATGATTCGGCAGCAGTGGTGCAACTCAAAACGGGACAGCTAACGGAGTTGAGACAATGTTTATCAACTTTCTCGTATTTCTCGGGTGTGCAAGTTAACAGGGACAGGACGGTGGTTGTCCACTTCATAGGGCTTTCGGGTGGGATTGGTCCGAAATGTGTAAGGGGCCTTCTCCTCTTCTTCTTTCTGAGGACTGTTGGCAGATGTTCTTTTAGGCGTGAATGTGAAAACAGGAGTGGAAGGATTGCTATATGTTTCTGAGTTCATCCGGGCGACTGTCATGGCTGCCTTGTGGATCACAAGGAATGAATGTATTCGACAGAAGAAGGTTTCTTCTTTGACTTATCTCAAGAGGCTGGTTATTTTGTATATTCGACAGGGTTTTCAAGCGGATTTCTCGCAGAGGCATGCGACACAGAGTATTAAGGTGGAATCTTTTTTGTTCCAAGCCTGATCTTCATTCCCAAATTTTGTTACTTTCAATATTGAGAGTAACAGTTATAGTTCTAGGCAAGCTCCGTCGGTGGAAAAGGAAGGGGTGCATACGCCCGTACATTCGGGTATCTCTCAAGAAGAACCGGATGTTTCTCATGATGGTTTAGACGACGGACTGTATTACCTGCTTCATAATTAACATTTTCGAGTTATTTATTCAAACATGCGTAGCACGGCGAACATGTTTGCTCGTTCGCACGAACAGCTCGCGAACATGTTCGGGCGAACGTAATTTGTTTTTCGTAAAGACAAAATAAAAAAATAAAAAAATATATCTTTCAGTTTTTTATTTTTAACTCATGCTTGGCTAAGAATTTGAACATGACTCTAAGGCAAAAGTTTTTTGTATTAATATTTCACATAACATGTATTGTTTTCAGAGTTTTCTGAACATGTTTGTTATTTATTTATTTTTTATTTTTTATGTTCGTGTTCGGAGGGTTTTGGGCACTTGTTCGCATTCAGGCGAACATGTTTGCGTTCGCCTCCGAACGCGAACACAGTGCTACGCAGATTCAAACACTTATCCCCATCCAACCACCCCTCCATCCCCCCCCCCAACCTGAGAGAAGGGGGGGGTGGAGAGGGGGAGAGGGATAAGGTAAGGAGTTATCCCCCCCCTCCCTCCCCTCAGGTGGTTTAATCCGCCTAGTAGGTAAGTTCGTGATGTTCACTTTTCTAGAGTCAAGTTCAGTAGTGTGTTTCCTTTCTAAGATTGTTTCTTTTTCTTACCGATGTTTAAAATATAGACCGGTGTCTCGTGTCCAGTTTCTTTTTAATTTTCAAGTTCCCATTTCATAAGGGTATTTCCCCCCAAGGCCTTTTTCTTAGCTCATTTATCGGTATATAATGTGATTTTTTCAGGTTTTGTTATTTCTGATACATTTATAAATATTGTAGAATATGGAGGGAGCAGGTATGGGGTTTCATAAGTGTTTTTAGTTGTTGGGTAGGATTGGTGCTTTAATTAGTATATTGCTGTTCGAAAAGCAACTTTTGATCCTTATGACTACTTTGCTCCCTATTTCCTGTAATATTTTTCTGCTTGTCGGTGATAAGTAACTGGACTGGTTCCCCCTAGAATATAAAGGGGCTTTGCTTTATTTAAAAAATAAAAATAAAAAAATAGCGCATCTCATCACCTGCCATTGGCAGGTTTTTCTGGTGTCTTGTCGTACCGCCTGCTCATTCAATCCCCTGTATAGTTAACAAATGTTGGTAGACCTGCTTCATGTATGAAGGGACACTAAACCGTTTTCCAGCAGGTGCAGATCCCCACCAATACATCGGAGCGACAGGGAAGCCCGCTGAAAGGGGATGCTCTTATCACCTCCTCTAGTGAGAAATGGGTTCTTTGTATTAAAAAAAAAAAAAAAAAAAAAAAAAAAAAACATTTATGGGTAGTTGCTTTAGATTTTCGCCACATGTTGGAGCCCTAGGAAGTTAGTTCAGTTCCTGCATTTTCTGAGTTAAGTTTATGTTTCACACTTGACTCTGTATAAATTTTGAAAAGTCTCTTTTGTAAAAGGGAAGTGCTGCCAATTTTCTTGCAAAACCAAGGAGTTAAGTCAAATTTTGGTTTTTCAAAGTTCAACTTTTGTCTATGCTTTATATCTGGCTTAGTAGAAATCTGGAAAGGTTTCGTTTCTAGGAGAGTTAGACAAAATTTGACTTTGTGAACTCATAATCATTTTCATATTTTGTATTTAACTTTCTACAAATTTTGGAATGACACTTCTCTGGAGGAAGTCTTACCGGAATTTATGCAAATTTAAAAAGTTAATTGAGTTTTGTCTTGGCAAGAACCTACGTTACCGAACGTACACGTACGAGGTCTTTCCATACGAAATGTACACGTAATATCTGTACGGGAACATTTATGTCTTGTATGCCCCCGTACGAAGAATTAAAAAATCATTAAAAAACTCTAAAAAAACACATATGTGATGCGTTGCATGCCATTCACGTTCGTCGGCGAACAAGAACACGTTCGCTCGAACGTGCTCGAGCCTGAAAATCTGGCGAACGTGAAAACACGTTCGCCCGAACGTGTTCAGGCCTAAACACACACACACACACACACACATACACACGGGGGTTAGCATTGTCACGCAGGGATCCCCGGGGCCCAAGCCGGGGTAGGGGTTTCACCCCCGGATCCTCGCTGCAAGGCTACCCAACCCCCGCCCCCGCCAAAACACCCCCCCCCCCCCCCCCCCCCCCCCACACACACACACACACACACAGACACACACACAC